TCCGGTTTTGAAGCTTTTAGGAGTAATTTGAAGAGGAATTCAAGGGGTTTCTCATTGAGGTAAGTTTTTTGAGCCATAATACTCGCGTTTATGGTAATTTTCCGTTGTTTAATCATGTAATTAGTGAAGATTAGGGGTGAAAATGAGGGGTTAGGGCTTGGGATTTTCGGAGAGTTTGATTGAAGATTTGAGGGGTCAAATTGAGTCGGATTTTGATAAATCTTGTATGTATGGACTCGTGAGTGAAAGAACTTTCTAGTTTTCTGACTTTTGTCGGATTCTGAGACGTGGGCCCGGGGGCCGGGTTTAAGAGGATTTCGGGATTTGTGCCTAATTTGCTAGTTTTTCTTGTGGAATTCATTCCATTAGCGCATATTAATGGTATTGTTCTTGTTGTGAATAGATTCGGAGCGATTAGAGGCCGAGTAGAGGGGCAAGAGCATCATGGAGTAGAGATTTTACCGGTTTGAGGTAAGTAACGATTGTAAATCTAGTCCTGAGGGTATGAAACCCCGGATTTCGTATCGTTTTACTATTTTGAGGTGATGCGCATGCTAGGTGACGGGCGTGTGGGCATGCACCGTTGGGGATTGTGATTTGGGTCGTCCCGTAGCAACTATAAAGTTGCGTATTTGGTTGAAACTATATGATACTTATGTGTTTTAGAAAGAGTTTCTGTAAATTGGGCTGAATGCCATATTTGGGCCTTGTGCCAGAGGTGTTTGGACCCTTAGGAGCATTTTTCTTACTATCCTCTCGCTATTTTTGGTTGAAAATCTATACCCAGTCATGCTATACTCATTGATTTCATAACTCAGTCTTTATTACTCTGTTTTGATGCATATAAAAATGTTGTTTTGGGCTAAGTACCTTGTTTTTACTGAGAGCCCGAGTGTCTTGAGAGGTTTATGACTAAGTGAGGCCGAGGGCCTAATTTGTGAGGAAATTTATGGGATCGGGCTGCACGCCACAACATGTTGTTACTGATTCATGATTGAGTGAGGCCGAGGGCCTGATTGATTTATGCCACGAGGTGGCTTGTTATAGCGCTTGGGCTGAAGGAGCCCCTCCGGAGTCTGCACACTCCCAGTGAGCGCGGGTACCCTAAGTGATGTTTTGCCCGAGGGGCTGTATATGAGTGATGTTTTGCCCGAGGGGCTGTATATGAGTGATGTTTTGCCCGAGGGGATGTGTATGAGTGATGTTCTGCCCGAGGGGCTGTTTATGTCTTCATAATTTTTGCTCATTGTTGCACTGAGCCTCTATTTGAGAACTGTTGAAAAATATCTTCAAATGATTTTATTGATACTGAGTTTAAACGAAATGATTTGATTCAAACTCTGCTTTTAAAAGCCTGATGTACTTTTACTGAGATTTCATGATATGAGCTTATATGATTTATTGCTCATCACTGCTTCTCAGCCTTTATTTACTTTGGTTACTTACTGAGTTGGCGTACTCACATTACTCCCTGCACCTTGTGAGCAGATCCAGGTATTTCTGGACCTGGTAGCGGGTGTTGATTATTCAGTTGCTGATCCATCGGAGTTAGCAAGGTAGCTGCCTGGCGATCGCAACCCTACGTTCCTCCATCTTCATCTTCCCTTAGTTGTTTTTCAGTTATTTCCAGACTATGTTAGTCTCGATATTATCAGACGGTTGTAGTAGATGCTCATGACTAGTGACACCCCGATGTCGGGCTTTCTTTTGTGCACTTATATTTTGATTTACACTCCTTATGAAGGTTTTATATTAAATAGCTTTGGGAATTATCTTGAAAATGAAAATCTCGTTTGTTTTGGTAATGTGTCGGCTTGCCTAGTACCACGATAGGCGCCATCATGACAAGTTGATTTTTGGGTCGTGACAGTTACCTTGTCTTTTTTTTCCACTCTCACCCTTCATTATTATTTAATAATTTTATTTTATCATTTACCGTACCTTTTTATATACCACATCATAATTTTTCTTTATAATATCGCAAGTTTATTCATCATATTACTGGTGCGTGATACCATGAAACGACGGCAAAACGACACAATCCATCCAAATATTGTATTCATCAAACAATACAGTACAGTACAGTACAATCCAATACGATGTATTATGAAACGATACGTAACAACCATCCAAACGTAACATGTAACATATCTTATTTTTTAAGATTACAAAAGCCACCTTTTAAGAAGGTTTACTGGTAAATATTTTTTGAGTGATGTGATAGTTTAAAAAAAAATTACACTGATGATGTATATACTTTAAACTCATTAATTAGGAATATTACTTTGGAAAATTTTGCAAGAAAAGAGTCCTGAATTGTTGTTGACATATGGAGATGCGTATTTAACAACCTTTATAGCATGAAATAGGAAATTGATTTCCTTTAGGTTGAGAGCTACTTGCTTATTGGTTCACTTTTACCTTCTTTTAATTCATGAATTTTAAATTTTGTAAACTCAATATTGATTCTTCTCGAACAAAGAATTCTAATCAATTTAACTTCTCCATGATGATAGAGTTAAATGAATTTCATTCAATTTAACTTGCTCCATGATAGAGCCAAGACTTCACATCCCTTATTTATATATATATATATTTATATATATATATATATATATATATATATATATATATATATATTATACAGTGTATGTGTTATAATGCATGTTCTATATAACAACACTTCATTAAGCAACTAAAAAAATGTCGAAACAGACGAGACTGTTATAGAGAGATTTGACTGTATAAAGACAGAGGCTAGTCTAACTTCCGGTACAACTTTTTCTTAATTAAGAAGAAGAAAAAAAGATGGCTAGGACACAAAATAGTTTCGAGGACTAACAATTTTCTCCATTAACATCTCATAATATTTGACATTAGTCCCCTAATAATTAATGTCATTCTAAGAACTCTCACAACTTCAATTTCATTTACAATGCAAACTTATAACTTTAATCTAACCTGTTCTCCAATAAGCTAACTTTTCAACTCTTTGCTCAATATATTCTTTCACAATTCATATTATCCAAGTGACCAAGTCTGTTGTCTTGTTTTGGTCTAATCAACTTGAATGTGAAACTTGCTTTTGGTCAAGTCCAGAAACTTCTCTCTCTTTTTGTTTTCTTAGTAAAATTATACAAAACTCAATTTATTCCATATAATTAACTAAAAGATAATACAACTTAAGGGCAAATGTGAAATATTGCTACAAATGAATTAATCATAAATCAACGTTAAAATCATAGTATACTCAAGAGGACTAAGTTATAATTAGATATTAGCATTATTGTGAACAATGGCGGACGCACATTGAAGGAAGAAGGGTCGCTGCCACCCGAAAACTTCGACAAAAACTTCATATATAGTTATAAATGGCTTCAAGAAATAGTTAGATATTAATAAAAGTCTGCGTACCAATTCTTATGAGCAGTGACACTCACTGAATCTTGGATCTGCCTCTGATCGTGAAGAAGACCTAATGTTGCTTTTTGTCTTGGGCTCGTAGTATGGACACTACTGTTGACGAATAATAGACCAATAAGTCTTAGCTTCTTGATTTAACTATATGCGTATGTCATTTTTCCAGATGCTTTCCTCGCGATAATTGCGGCAAATGTGAAAGAAGAGTAAAAGACGATCCAATTTCTAAAAGCTAAATAAAGGAAAGTGTTTTGGAATTCGTGAAGCAATTTCGTTCTTATATACCGGGCCATATGCATGAATTTTTGTAAGCAGTGTCGAAATTTATAAAAAAGCTGGAATATAACTTTGATTATCATGCTTTTAGATAAGAAATAGTCTTAGTCTATTGGTTTTGTTGAGTCTTAAGTTGGAAAAGGTGCCGAGTTCAATTCTACTTCATCACAATTTTTAACCACAAAGGATCTCTCAAATATCATAAGCAATACACCAAGACACAATTTATATCAATTAGTATCATTTTTTCCTATTTATCTGTTTGCGTACAATATTAATTAATACATATATTTAGTAAAAAATTTCAACGAAGCGGTATCGCGTGGCACCGCTTCGATAAGCGTACATCCGCCGCCCCTGCTTATATACACCTTCCTTTTTAACCACCATTAGATGGTTACTAAAAGATAGACAGCTGTCAGCATCGTCTAACATTATTGGAGAAGAAATAACAATTCATGGGAACTTGTGGAATTAGTATCTACCTACACCCTGCCCTTCCCAGACCCCACTTGTAATATCACTCTGAGTATTTTATTATTATCGTTATAGCTCAAATAATATGAGGTGAAGGAACGTGTATTAAAAATGATGAAGCAACTTAGTTCTTATGCTACATTTGAAGGCCGGGGCGTATCTAAGTGGAAAAGACTGGGTTCACGTGCACCCATGCTCCAAATTCTAAACCATATATAGTAATATAATATATTTTCAAAACTACTTCCTAAACCATATCAAGAGAAAGACTTTTTTATTTTTTTATGGTTTACCCTTATCATTAACTATTCATTTCTCAAATCATTTCTCAAGACTTTTGGAAATGCTATCATTATTATGGGTAATACTGTAAAATACAAACTTTAATCATTTTTTTTCTTAAAAGTAGTGCAAAGTTAAAAGTGGACAACTAAAAGTGAAGGACGGAAGCACTTAATATGTGTATACGTCCAAGCTCAAAGAATCTTATGTTACAACGGTTAGTAGGTGCACCTCTAAAGTGAGGTCGAGGGTTCAGTTTCCAGCAATGACTTATAGTCAATTGAAAAAAAAAATAAAAAAAATAAAAAATTGGTTCAACTAATCCCAATATTTTCAATACTGAATATAGATATACAGTAGACCAATTAGCAAGTAGCTTTCAACCTAAAAAAAATTCAATTTCCAATTTCATGCTGCAAAGGTTGTTAAATACGCATCTCCATATGTCAACATCAATCCAGGACCCATTTTCTTGGAAATTTTTGAAAAATAATATTCCTAACATCCTATAAATACCCAACTATATACCAAAGGACATCATTATAAGCCTATTAATCAAGATCTTATTACAACATACTTCTATTACAATATCCTTTTCTTTTTGTAATATGGCTTTGGTCCTTGGATGGAAAATACTATTTATCCTTCTTTTTGTGATGATTGGGATGTGTACATCTCAAGTCACTTCTCGTAATATTAAAGAATTATCTATGTTAGAAAAGCATGAATTGTGGATGGCAAATCATGGACGTACATACAAAAATGAAGAAGAGAAGGAAAAAAGATTGAATATATTTAAAGAGAATGTGAAATTTATTGAGTCTTTCAACAATAATGGGACTAAAAAGCCATACAAATTAGGCATCAATGTATTTGCTGATCTTACTGCAGAGGAATTCTTGAGTTATTATACTACTGGAATTAAGTTGTCTAATTCCTACTCTCAAATTCAATCATCATTTAAGTATGAAAACTTGAGTGATGTTCCATCTGTTATGGACTGGAGAAGGAGTGGGGCTGTCACTAGAATCAAACATCAAGGCCAATGTGGTAAGGCACAATTTTCTATTCAAGAAAAGTTTCATATTCTCTTTTTATTAAGTATTGGCGTAACTGCTAATGTTACTGCTATATGACCAGGAAGTTACGGGTTCAACCTGTGGCAATAGCCTCTTGCAAAAATACAGGGTAAGACTGCGTACAATAGACCCTTATGGTCCGGTCCTTCCCCAAACCCCGGGCATAGCAAGAGCTTAGTGCACCGGACTGCCCTTTTTATTAAGTATTGAGAAAGGATTTAAGTAAACTACTACATGTTCCTTTCAAATTTATGATCTTAAACATGTCTTGTTATTGTGTTATAACGGAGTATCACTAAGGATAACATGATAATATTAGAAGCAAGCGTACTAAATACTTATAAAAATACATTCTTTCTATAACAGACTAAAACGTAGTACTCTCTTCCTGTCCAATAGAGTTGAAAAGGCACTTAAATTATATATGATAATTTAAATTTGTTTTACACTATCAGTATTATATTTGACCTACTTTATAGTGTAGTTACTATTTTTATCAAGTTATCGATTAATGTTTGTCATGAAAGTTAACCTTTTATTACATTATAAGGGGTCGTCTAGTTCGAAGACAAGTTATACTGGAATTAGTTATGTTGAGATTAGTTATATTGGGATTAATTATGTTGGGATTAGTTATTCTGTTATTATTTCTTATTGACTGTTTGGTATGTAATATTAATCCTGGAATTGTCAATTTTACTGCAAGTATAAATTATCCCCGTACTAATTTTAGTTCTGAGATAACTTATCCCGGATTAGTAGCCAAACAAAGGATAAGGTGGAATTATATTTTTATTTCGGGATTATTTTTACTTATCCATCATACCAAACGACACCTAAGTTGGTATAAATATGTGCATAGAACTTTCAATTCAGTTGATAAATTGCATGAAATATAGGATGTTGCTGGGCATTTTCAGCAGTTGCAGCCTTAGAAGGAGCAAACAAACTCTCAACAGGCAACTTGATTTCACTCTCCGAACAACAACTGTTAGATTGTACCACCGAAAACAACGGCTGCGACGGCGGTCTAATGACTACAGCCTACGATTTCATCATAAAAAATGGCGGCATCGCCACAGAATCCAACTACCCTTACGAGGAATATCAAGATTCATGCAAAAGCCAAGAGATAATGAATTCTGCAGTGAAAATCAGTCGTTACGAAACTCTGCCCTCGACCGAATCAGCATTGCTAAAAGCCGTAGCTAAACAACCGGTCTCTATCGGTGTTGCTGTGAATGAAGAGTTTCACTTGTATCAAAGTGGTGTTTACAATGGAAATTGCGAGGGTCAAGAACTCAATCATGCAGTTACTGTAATTGGTTATGGGATAGAAAATAATGGTACAAAATATTGGTTGATCAAGAATTCTTGGGGGTCAAGTTGGGGTGAAAATGGTTACATGAAAATTGCTAGAGATACTGGAATTGAAGGAGGTCTTTGTGGGATTACCACTTTAGCTTCCTATCCTGTTCTTTAGATTGTTGAATTTTCCCTGGAATTGAGGGAGGTCTTTGTGGGATTACCACTTTAGCTTCCTATCCTGTTCTTTAGATTGTTGAATTTTCCATGTATTTTGGTCTTTTCCCGAGCTCTGCGTAAATGCAGGATGTGTTTTGCACGGAACTGCCTATTTTAATGTATGTTGGCCTATAGGATATATAGGCATCTAGCACCTTTAGTGCTAGTAGTACATGTTGTTTTCATGCTATTTTTCCGCTCCGATTTCTTAGTATATTGCCATCGTTACTGGATATTGTTATTGCTTTTTCCATCTATTTCTGGTCCTTAGGACGTTGCTGGTACTATCTTTCTGGCCTTTGTTGTTGTTACTGTTCTATTATTTCTTTTCATCTTTTCGAGCCGAGGGTCTTTCGGAAACAGTCTCTCTACCCCTAGGATAAGGGTAAGGTCTGTATACACTACCCTCCACAAATGCTACTTGTGAGATCATACTAGGTGGTTGTTGTTGTTGTAGTGCTAGTAATTTAGTTAGTTTTTCAGGTTTCTGTTGTACTGGTTCAAATTGCTTTTGTGCAATGCAAATTAAAGGTCCTTGTTACAGGATAAATTACAGAATGTCATGTAATATGATGTTTTAATGGGAAATGAAGTTAGAATCTTTATTAAGTCCTCCTTATCAAACCATGTAACGTCATAGCTAGCTAATAATACTCAATTTAGTGACACGTTTTCCTATCGGTTCGTTTAAAAAAGATTGCCACATTTCCTTATTTGGAATTTTTAAACTTTCTAATTCTAATTCATACTGTCACACCCCAAAAGTCAGCTGACTGACTGGCACCTAGCACTGAACTCCAGTGTTTCAAAAGACGGGAGCGTGAGAATCGCATTTACTTAATATGAGGTGAGACATTAAGCCCCATGAAACTTTAAATTTCTTAATTGAAAAGCTAGAAGAGTTTGGGCATTTATATATTTGGATAAATGTATTCACTAGGAGCAAACAATAGTATCAGAAATGTGATGAGAAGGTAATAGAACAACAACAGCAACAAACTCAGTGAATTTTACAAGTGGGGTCTGAGGAGGGTAGTGTGTACGCAAATTTTACCCTTACTAGAAAGATAGTATCCAGTAGATCATCGGCTCAAGATAGATAAAATTAAGAAAGAAGCAACAACAAGCAAACCCATTAGAAAATCGAAGCGATAATACAAGACTAACACTAAATGGTGCAATCAGAAACCGAAGTAAAAGAAATAACAAGTAATAACAGAAATCTAAAAAAATATAAAAACGCAAGACTAACCCCGAGTAATGCACTAAAGCTACTGGAACGTGCAAGGACAATGCATTTAATTTCTCAGTGTTAGAATCCTCTTTACATTGAACAAAATCCAACATCACATTTGCAAATGAATAATAATAATAATCAAAATCAAATAATTGTCTTAGCTTAAAGCACTACAACCTGATCAAACTTGTAAGAATTTCAAGCAATTGGATAAGAAGCTTTCATAGCAATTCCACAAAGTCCTGTTTTAGCAACAATGTTTCTTTTCATTCTAATATATCCATTTTCACCCCAACTAACACCCCATGAATTCTTCACAATCCAATATTTTGTACCATCTTTAGTTGCACCATAACCAACTGCTGTAACACCATGGTCTAATTCAGTTCCACATTTTCCAGTAAAAATACCACTCGAGTAGAACTGAAAGTCCGATCCACTAGCATCAATCGCGACAGATACAGGTTGATTCGCGACAGCTTTAAGCAAAGCCGATTCACTATTTTCTGGAACATCTTTGTAACCACGAATTTTCGCGACATGATTCGATTCTTTTTCAGTTTTACAAGTGCCATCAATTCCTTTATATGGATAATTAGATTCTGAAGTAAGTCCATGATTTTTAATAATGTACTTAAATGCATCATCCATAAGACCTCCTTCACATCCCTGATTTGAATTTGTGTCACAATCAACGAGTTCTTGTTCGGATAATGAAATTAATTTGCCTGTTTTGATCTTGTTAATTCCTTCTATAGCAGCCACAGCAGAAAATGCCCAACAACATCCTGCATATTTACATTGTCTTAAATAATTCTCCATGTAATAGCGTAAAACGCAAAATAATATTCACACTAGTAATGCAAAGGCGGATCTAAAAATTGTATTAAGTGGGAATCAATATCTGTTTTTTGGGTAAATAGCTCGGTATTCAACTAAGTACAGCATAAATAATTTAGCATTCAACTAAGTGCACCATAAATAACTCAGTATTCAACCAAATACACCATTTAACCTTTTTGGAGCATGAGGGCCAGCAGATAATATTAGACCAGTTCTAGAAATTACATATATAAAATACCTAGTTTAACGGAGAGATCATGGGTACACATATCTTATAATCTGGGCTATAAATCCGCCCCTGAGTACGTCTAATAATTTGGCTAGACTTGGTAATACAAGTATACAACAACAACAACAACAACAACAAAAAACCCAGTGAAATCATACAAGTGGGGTTTGAGGAGGATAATGTGTACGCAGACCTTACCCTTATCCTGGGGAGATATAGAGGTTGTTTCCGAAAGACCCTCGACTCGAGAGGATCGGTAACACAAGTATCCTAGACAATATTCCTATGGATTTTTTTAATGCCTCTATCGAGTATGTAATATAATATTAAAGACTTATTACCAAAAATTAAAAAGTAAAACGCAAAAAATATTTGAAATTGAATTGTTTTACTCACCACATTGCCCTTGATCTTTAATCTTTGTAACTGCACCTTTTTTTCTCCAATCCATACTATATGGAACTGTCACATTATCATACTGGAAAAATGTAGTTTTTATTTTCTGCTGAGACGATATTCTGTATCCATTACGAATGGCTTTGAATTCCTCGTTAGTCATATCAGCAAATTGATTGATACCCAATTTATAAGTTCGTGTTACATCCTTATTGATTGATTCAATATACTCGAGATTTTGTTTGAACGTCTCAAGCCTCTCTGCCTTTTCTGTATCATCTGTGTATGCGCGTCCATATTGAGTCATCCATTGCTCGTGCTTTTCAGTAATTGATGCTTCGTACAAAGTGCGAGATGTGACTAGAGAAACACACAATCCCAACACTAGTAGAATAGCAAAATTGAGTCTCCAATTGAACATAAAAGCCATAATTTAGGGTTTTACACTTAAATCTAATACTCTTAATAATTTTTGGAATGAATAAGTTAATTGGAATTTCTTGGGTATTTATAGACCTCAGTTTATTTGTTCTTTGAAGTGATTCTCTCACATTAATCCTTGCCTAATTAGTCGAAAACAACGGCAAATTAAATCTTGTATGATTCACGTAAAAGACAAATATTTGGATTATTGCATGTTGTTTTTATGTTTTAAAGCATGTCCACACAATACAATAGAAACAAATATAGCATATGGATTTTGAACGTTTCTTCAAACCGAAATGAACGCAAAATAAAGTGGAAAACAAAGATTGAATGAGTTAGTGACCACAAAACCAATTCAACAATAAAAAACTGAATGTCTCCTTAGACGAGGGAGAATGTTGCCCTCTTCATGTTTTATATGGGTATATTTACCCTTATCCGTAACGAGTATTTATATCAAACTGTAACGTATAAATTAATATGGAATGCGAATATAGTTACTAAAGAAAGATATTTTAAAATACAGAATTAGGACTCACTTACTTATAATAATATTTTTTCTCTAAGATGATATATTTTTCCTTTTCGATGTATATGAGTTGTTAGGACATTATAGGTAACCACCCTTATCCTTGTTGTGAAAGACCACATTCATGAAAAAATTATTTAAACTCTCCCGGGGCAGTTATAGTTATTTGAGAATTTTACAATTATAATAAAATTTTAAACACTGATCTATTCTTAATTTTTATAATTTTAATGTAATCTTCATATTTTTTTTTTCAATTTCTTACTATTTTGTAAATTTAAAAATAAGCAAAATGTAGAGATTTGTGGAGCTTAGGCCCCATTGTCACGTGACTTACATATTGCCTTGTTTAAAGTAAAATGTCTCGTCTCACACCTTTACCATTTAAAAGACTACTTAAGAAGTGAAGACAAAAGGAAGAATGCAAATGTGTTGTCTCTATTCCTTCATATCCTTCAACTCACATACACTTAATAACCCTTTAATGGTGTGAACCTTCAGGGTCTTAAAGTAATGAAAGTAATGAAAGAAGAATTTGTTAATTTTTGCAAAGCTTTGATGGGAACAATTGCACCAAATCTGTGACGACCCGGTCGGTCGTCTCATGAGTTACTGGTCCGTTTTCCCCATTTCTGCTCATATTTGCTTTGTTCATCTGTGTTTTGAGGTATCGGATTGGTTGGATTGAATCTGGATTGGTTTTGATGAAATCTAAGACACTTAGTCTCTTTTAAGAAGGCTTAAGTTGGAAAAGTCAACCGGATGTTGACTTATGTGTTAGAGGGCTCGGATGTGAGTTTCGATGGTTCGGTTAGCTTCGGGAGGTGATTTGTGACTTAGGAATGTGATCGTAATGGGTTTTGGAAGTCCGGAGTAGAATTAGGCTTGAATTGGCGAAGTTGATATTTTGGCGATTTTCCGGTTGGTAGGTGAGATTTTGATCCAGGGGTCGGAATGGAATTCCGAGAGTTGCAGTAGCTTCTTTGTGTCATTTGGGAGGTGTGTGCAAAATTTCAGGTCATTCGGACGTGGTTTGGTTGGGTTTTTGATCAAAAGCGAATTTTGGAAGATTTTAGAAAACTTAGGCTTGAATCCGAGGTGTTTTGAGTGATTTGATGTTGTTTGAGGTGTTTTGGTGATTGGAACAGGTTTGAATAAGGTTTTAGGATGTGTTGGTGCCTTTGGTTGAGGTCACGGGGGCCTCGGGTGAGTTTCGGATGGTCAATCAGACCATTTTGTGCCTTAAAAGATTGCAGATTTTGAAGTTTCAGGTGTTGCAGAGATTATCTCCTCGCATTCGCGAGAGGAGCCTCGCGTTCGCGAAGAAGGAATTGAGGGAGGCCTGGAGCTAGCCTTCGCGTTCGCGAGAGGGCACTCGCGATCGCGTAGAGTAGATTGGAGTCTGAGGGGCCCAGGTCTATTGTTCATCGCGTTCGCGTCAGGGGGGTCGCGATCGCGAAGGTGTAGGATGAAGAAGCATCGCGTTCGCGATGGATGTGTCGCGTTCGCGAAAGGGGAAAAGTTGGTCAACGCAAATTTTTGCTCCGCAAACGCGAGAGGTTGACCGCGTTCGCGAAGAAGGGGGAGTCAGACCTGGGCAGAATGTTTTAAGTCATTTCAGTCGCGATTCTGGGTCTATTTTTACCCATAGTTGACCATTTTGAGAGCTTCTTGGTGGAGATTAAAGAAGGATTCAAAGGGAATCAGTTGGAGGTAAGATTTTTGAACTTAAAACTCGTTTCTATTGTGAAATCTACCTAGAAAATCTTTGGACTTAAGCTAAAAATGGAAGAACTAGGGCTTGGAATTTTAGAGTTTTGATTTGGGATTTGAGGGGTCATTTGGACTCTGATTTTGGTGTTCTTTATATGCATAGACTCGTGGGGAGATAAGGAATACGTTGATGTGAAAATTTTTGAGTTTCGAGAAGTGGTCCCGGGGCTCGGGTTTTGCTAATTTCGGGACTTTTGGTATTTTTCGATTGTTTTCGCTTGGGCTTTGTTCCCTTAGCATATTGTGACGTATTCGCTCTGATTTTGACTAGATTCAACGCGAGTGGAGGCCGATTCGAGAGGCAAAGGCATCGCGGAGTAGTATTTTCACCGGTTTGAGGTAAGTAACCATTGTAAATTTGGAACTGAGGGTACAAACCCCGGTATTTGACTTGATAAATGCAGTTACACACATGCTAGGTGACGAACGTGTGGGCGTGCACCGGTAGGGACTGTGACTTGGTCCTTCCCGTAGCGACTATTAAGCCGCGTATTTTATTTGGAAATGCTATATTATTCTGGATTTTAGATCTTTATACTGTATTATGGGCTTATTGCCACATTTGGGGCCTCGTGCCGATCTGTAGCAACCCTTAGGGGCATTTTAACTATTTTCCTCACTTTACTTGTTAATACATAGCCTCAGTCCTGTTTTTACCTGTTAAATGTTTAAAACTGGTTTTATCATTCTACTCCTATTGTGAGGGCTGTTTGGGCTGAGTTCCCTAATTTCTGTTGTGATGCCCGAGAGGCTGTGAGGCTAATGACTGAGAGAGGTTGAGAACCTTATAGTAAGGATATTATATGTATATATTATGGATCGGGCTGCACGCCGCAGCGATATATATATATATATATATATATCGGGCTGCACGTCGCAGCGATATGACGCTTGGGCTGTAGGAGCCCCTCCGGAGTCTGCACACCCCCAGTGAGCGTAGTCGACTATAAATACATGGATTGGGCTGCGCGCCACAACGGTTATTATGTATTCTATTAATATGAGTTAATACGGAGCCGAGTGCTGATAGTGAATACTGTGTGACTAGAGTTGAGTCACATGTGACTGAGAGGCTGCCCGAGGGGCCATATTCTGAGTGATCCTTTGCCCGAGAGGCCCTGTTATGATGTTTCTACTGCTTTCACTCTTCTTTTTTTATATAAATAAGCCTCTGTTGGATATATTTGTCAAGTTACTGATTTCAAAGTTTAAACTAAAAATGATGAATTTATGACAGAATTGATTTTAAAGTTATATGTTTTGAATTGCTCGTCACTGCTTTCAGTCCATTATTTACTTTAGTTACTTACTGAGTTGGCGTACTCACGTTACTCCCTGCACCTTGTGTGCAGATCCAGGTGCCCGAGAGGCCGAGTGAGAGCTTTCAGCTGTCTTCCAGCATTTGCCGGGGATTTCGAGGTAGCTGCATGGCGTCCGCAGCCCTGATTTCTCCCTTCTATCTTATTATTTTCCGCATTTCTAGACTATCTATATAGTAGGTTGTTCAGATTTGTATTAGAGGCTCTAGACTCGTGACACCAGATCAGTGTGGGCTGTGTAGTCTTCCGCATATCTACCTTGCTGTTTGGAACATTTAATGTGAAAATTGGTAATTTAACCGTGTTAGCAAATGATTTATTAAATGAAAATGGGTTGTGGTTTGATAGTTGGTCTGGCTTGCCTAGTAATGTGATAGGCGTCATCAAGACCGGTATTCGGGGTCGTGACAAGTTGGTATCAGAGCCTAAGTTACATAGGTCTCGCGAGTCATGAGCCGGTTTAATAGAGTCTCGCGGATCGGTACGGAGATGTCTGTATTTATCCTCGAGAGGCTACAGAACCTTTAGGAAACTTCACATTCTTGAAATTCTTATCGTGCGAGTTTGTTGATCCGAGTACTAAACTTCCGTTGTTCTATTCTCTCACAGATGGTGAGGACACACGCTACTGGACAGGGTGGACGACCACCAGTGCCACCAGCTACGGCCACCAGAGGCCGAGGACGCGGTCGTGGTCGCGGTAGGGGCAGAGCAGCGGGGGCAGCACCTGTAGATCTACCAGCTGCCCCAGTTCAGGACCAGGTCCCAGTTGTGGACGCTGTAGTAGCACCAGTTTAGGCACCAGCTGTACCTATTGTGATTCAAGGCCTTTAGGAGGCTCTAGCTCAATATTATCAGTGTGTACCGGTTTGGCTCAGGCGGTCTCAGCTACTACGGCCGTAGCTACTTCACAGACCGGGGGAGGTATTCAGACCCCCGTTGCTCGCACACCTGATCAGGTTGTGCAGGGACTCCAGACACCGGGGGCACCTCCAGCCCAGCTGGTTGCACCAGCTCAGGAGTTTGTAGTACCAGTGATGCCGGATGATGAGCAGCATCGACTTGGGTTTGGTAGATTCCGGGCTCCGACATTCAGCGATGTAGAGGGCGAGAATGCCCAGGGATTTTTGGATAAGTGCCAGAGGATGCTTCGTACAGCAGGGATTCTAGAGACCAGTGGTGTGGCATTTACCACCTTTCAGTTTTCCGGGGCTGCCTTCACTTGGTGGGAGGCGTATGAGAGGCGTAGGCCTGCTGGAGAGCCCCTTACGTGGCAGCAGTTCTCTGTTCTCTTTCTATAGAAGTATGTACCACAGTCGTGCCGAGAGGAGCTGCGTAGGCAGTTTGAGCAGCTGCGTCAGGGGGAGATGACGGTGACGCAGTACGAGATGCGATTCTCTGAGTTAGCCCGACATGCAGTTTGGTTGGTTCCCACCGATCGAGAGAGGATAAGGAGGTTTGTTGATGGCCTCACATATCAGCTCTGTATTCTCATGACCAGGGAGATGGTTACTGGTGCTACATTCGAGGAGGTTGTGGATATTGCCAGGGAGATTGAGTCTGTCCGTCGCCAGGAGCGAG